GCTATCTCTTCAAACGTGATATCTTGGATTAAATTTTTCTGCAATATACGAAAATCCCTCTCTGTGTTCTTGAGGCTAAGTGGAGTGATTAAGAATGTACTCGTTTCCTTTTATTGGCTTAATTAAAACAAAATTCTCATTTTGTCCCATTTGCAGATTTGTTGGATATAACTATAAATATGATAAATAAGTAGTACTTGCAGACCTCCCAGTAGTAACCACCTGAAGCTAAGATTAATCAGCCTTATATACTTAATCAAGCTGCCGTCTAACCTTTCAGCTTCGCAATCCCTTGCTTTATTTCACATTAATCCTATTCTTAACCAAGGATATCGCCAAGTATTTGTTTTCTGATAAACCTGATGTTGAGACTGTGAACCTTTCATTACGTTACATATCAGTGTTTCTTATCTGATGCTGAATAGATTACAATGTTTTTTTGTTCCCTGTAGAATGTCCGTGTGTGTGATGTGCTATGTATGTTTATATGAATAATCGTATGTATACCTCTGTTTATCTTTATTTATAGTCTTTCTATGTATCCCCTAAATGCCCGCTCGTTCATATCCATCCACGATACCGAACGACCACGTGGCCACGTTCGACCGCACCCTACTTTCTTGAGCCCGTAAGTAAGTAAGTAAGCCCGTAAGTAAGCCCGTAAGTGTTGTCGAAATGATATATAGATGATCGTAGAGTGCGTACATATTGAACACTTCCCTATCGCTCACTTCTGAGATAGCTTTGTTGGTTCTTAAGACCGAGAAAATTCTCATCCCAGTACTCATTCGACCTGTATATTTTTTATGTGCATAACAGAGTTGTGATGCTATTTATATCATTATAATAAAGATAATCATAATGGTAATGTAGTAATGGTAATGGTAGTAATGGTAATGAGGAGGATATATAACAATAATGATGATGATGAGGATGATTTTCTTTTATATCATTATCACTCTTGGTATTACTATTGTTGTTTTGTTGTTGTCCGTATCATTATCATCTTTACCATTATTGGTATAAGTATTGTTGTTTTTGTTTTATTATTGTTATCGTTATTTTTATCATTATTATTATTGCTATTTTCACTATTATTATTATCATTATTATCATTATCATTATAATTATTATTATCATCATCGTAATTATTATTATCATTAACTTTATTATCATTATTATTATTATTATTATTATCATTATTATTATAATTATTATCATTATCATTGTTGTTGTTAGTAGCAGCAGTAATATGAGCAGTAGAAGTTGTTATCATTATCATTATTGTAATTAGTAGTAATATTTCTATAATTATTGTTGGTATTATCATTATTATTAGTAATGATATTGTGATTATTATTCTATGGATATTATTATCAATATATCCATTATCACTTTTGTTTTTATTTTTAATATAATCAATGTATTTGTTGTTATTATTATTTTTATTATTATTATTTATTATTATTATTATTATTATTACTATTATTATTATTGTTTTTGTTGTTATTATCTTTTTTATTATTTATTTTATTATCATCAATAGCTTAACCCATTGCCGCCGGGGAAAATGAAAAAAATGGGGTAAATGCAGTACTCATTTTTTATATTTTTGGGAAATATCTCTGTCCATAGATGGCTCTGCTAGTCCTGATTTCACCTTTCCTTGAATTGGCGGGAAAAAACGTATTCTAACTAGTGCTATAAATATAGATAACTTAGGATAACGTTAAATATTTTCGTAAACCGATGAAAAGGGAGAACGGGCGAGACAGGCAGTACTCGTAATTGGCTCATTGGATACTTAGTACAAGTGTAGCCATCTATGCAATGGGTTAACATTATTATTAAAATTTTGATTTTATTATTATTATTGTTGTTGTTGTTTTTGTTATTGTTATTATTATTATTATCATCATCATCATCATCATTATTATTATTATTATCATTATCATTATTATTATTATCATTGTTACTATTATAATAATACTACAATTATCATTATCATTATCACTATCATTATTATCATTATCATTATCACTATCATTATTATCATTATCATTATTATCATTGTTATTAACGTTATCATTATTATTAACATTATTGTTGTTGTTGTTGTTATTGTTAATATTTTTATTATTATCATTATTATTATCGTCATCATCATCATCATCATCATTATTATCATAATTACTATTGTTATTATCATTACTATCATTATGATTATTGTTGTTGCAATTATAATTATCATTATTATTAGCAGTAGTAGTAGTAGTAGTATTGTTGTTATTTATACTGTTTTTATATTATTGTATTATTATCATTATTATTGTCATCATTATTATTACTGATTTCATTACTGTTATTACTAACAATATCATATCATACTATCATTATTTTTACTGTTTCCAATATTTTTATAATAATTATCATCACCATCATCTTATTATGATCATAATCTAATTATTTTATCATTAATAATAACAAATGGCAAAATGTAAATTATCGTCTTATTCAATGTAATCTCACTTTAAATAACATTGAAAAAACGCACTCTTTACCGAGCAACCTTGGGGGACTTGAAACACAAAGGGATGTGCACACGCAAACGCACACACCCACACACACACACACACACACACACACACGCACACGCACACGCACACGCACACGCACACGCAAACGCACACACACACACACATAATACATCATAATACAGAGAGAGAGAGAGAAAGAGAGAGAGAGAGAGAGAGAGAGAGAGAGAGAGAGAGAGAGAGAGAGAGAGAGAGAGAGAGAGAGAGAGAGAGAGAGAGAGAGAGAGGCAGACAAACAAACAGACAAACCTTTCCTCTCTTTTCCTCCCCCTCCTTTCTCCTGGGGGCCGGGCTCCCCCATAGCCCGGGCGAGGCTCAGCTTCGTATATCGGACTTATCCTTATCCTTTCTCCTCTCTTTGTAGCTCTTCCTCTCCTTCTAATTTTCTGTCCTTGTCCTTTCACACTTTTTTTCCATCTAATTTTCTTTCCCTCTTTCTCTCTACCTCACTCACTCTATTCCCCCTTTCCCTCTCCTTCCTTTTTTTCCTCCCTCCCCTACCTTCCTTCTCCCTCTCTTTATCTCTTCAAACATGTACTGAACGGTACCGACTGCCAGGTGCTAATCCCTAGGCTTATTAAGGCGGAAGCCAGGGAGAGCGGATATGTGGTATATCGGGACGATCTTTCAGCACTAATACCCACTTAATTTTTTAAAATACATAGCACTATTTAATAAATGTTTGAAAATCGTCATTCGTGTGAGCATAAAATAAGTACTGCATATCGGATTTAAATTTTGCTTGGGCCTGGGTGGATTATACGGGTTGTGGGCGTTTACGGGTTAAGTATGAAGGGAATGCTAAAGCAAAACATAAAAAATGGCTCTGGATAGATAAATAGTTCCAGGGAATAAATGAAAACTCATGAGGAGTAGCAGAAAGCTATTTGATTTTTATGATAAACTAGTAGCACAGTCCACAGATTGTTGGTAGCAAAAAGAAAAAAAAAGCAAATTACTGATATATAGTTCTGTTAGTAAGCTTATGCAGTACTTGTTTTCTTCCCATAAATCTCGGACGCAACAATAAGTGCAGCGTGACAATAAGGGAAATAATGGCACAAAAGTAATCCATTTGAGTGATAAGTTTTGTACAAAGTGCAGCGTGTCTAGTGCACCTCTGTTGTATCAATTTGATTTCGCAGAGCATTTACGAGTGAAAACTAGAAGACATGATTTAGAAGGAAATGAAACCGCACTATTCCGGAATTCGGGACTTAATTTTACAATAAACTCCCTTTAGATATGGTACTGTTAAAAACAGATAGTTCAAGCAGCATTATTATCATTAGAATTTTGCTCTCGATTAACGTCATCCTCTGGTCGCTACCATTCGTCTGTAATAGTAAGGTGTTATTAGATTTTCAGCTTTTATGTATAGAAAATGTGATTTTCGAAAATACCAACTTCATAAGGACTTGATCAAATTAATGAGTTATACTGTTACTCTTTGTGCTATTGGGTATAAAGCAGAGTGACTGTCCGTTAAAAATAAATATATAAAGAAATAAATAAGTAAATAAATAAATAAATGACAACCAAATCTCCGTGAAGATCTTTCGTGGATGTATGGATTCAAATGAATAACTTATGAGTAACCAGTAAGGCACTTTTATTTCAATTTTTATTTCTTTTCATAGTCACTTCCAGGCATCACAGAGACGCGTCCACACGATCGGCATGCACGACGATTACCCGTTGACAATTAACCACACCAAGACTGAGTCGATGATTAGCTACAGATTATTTGCAGATATTGCTAATTATCTGGCACGTCAGCAGCAGAGATAATGGACTGATTACGTGGTTGTAGAATGCAAACCCACTTGCTGGATATTTCGTTTAACTACGAGCACGGGCATTTCACTGGTTGCTCACCCTTGCAAACCCATCGTGTGGACGCGGTTATATTTCTATTGAGCAAAGTTAGCATATGCAGTAACA